TCTCTCTCTCTCTCTCTCTCTCTCGCTCTCTCTCTCGCTCTCGCTCTCGATCTCTCTCACACACACATAATTCTTGATTCTTTCCCTTACAAAAGAGGGATTGTTCAATTTCATCTCCAGATCCGGCAATAGAGGGTTGGAATCCAGGAGTCACGTAGCGACTCTGCAATATTCAGTGAAATATCCCCCAGAGATAAGGAATTGCGCACAAGAGATAAGGAATTGCGCCTCCTCACTCACAGAGTCGCGGGTAATATTTTATTTTTGGAGTGTATACGAACACCTTCCTCGTTCATAAGCAACTGGGGATTTGTTTTCGAAACTAATGCTATGGTCCAGGAGATCAGGAGGCCTGGTCGACGACCGGGCCGCGGGGACGCTAAGCCCCGGAAGCACCTCAAGGTAAAGGTAACCTCAAGGTATGGTATTAGATTAGGTTTTGTTTTTGGTTTGTTTTGGGTAAGTTTGCTTAGGTTAGGTTAGGCTAAGTTTGGTTAGGTTAGGTTAGGCTAGGCTAAGTTAGGTTAGGTTAGGTTAGGTTAGGCTAAGTTAGGTTAGGTTAGGTTAGGCTAAGTTAGGTTAGGTTAGGTTAGGCTAAGTTAGGTTAGGTTAGGTTAGGTTAGGTTAGGCTAAGTTAGGTTAGGTTAGGTTAGGTTAGGTTAGGTTAGGTTAGGTTAGGTAAGATGGTGTTTGATAACATTAATTGGTTTAGGTTAGGTTAGTTTGGGTAGGCTTGGCTAAGTTAGGTTTTGGGAAAGTTTGATATGAACAAAGTTTGGATTTAATTTGGTTAGGTTTAATGACGTTAATTACGTTAACAATCAGAAATGCAATAGTAATCAGGTCTAACAGCAGTCCTTTTATTCCACCTCACGAGAGAAAACATGATTATTTTTGTGTATAAATAACGCAGCTGAGCTAACGACTCAACTACAATTTCACCGGTCGGTTAACGCACAATCAGACCCGTTTTATTTCGGTAGAGCAACGATGAGACTTAAAAAATAATCCTTATCTTTAACCGAAAAGTATGATAAATTATTTAACCTCTTGTGGCCTATCCCATGCCCCCCCCCCCCCACCTTCTCCTATCCATCTATCCACGCCTACCCCCCCCCCCCCTCTGACAAGCCGAATATGTATTCTTGGCTTACTGTATGTATTCTTAGAGTTGTTGTTGTTTTAGATTCAGCTACTCAGAACATAAAGTGCCAAGTAGCACGGGCTATGGTGAGCCCGTAAACTCTTAAAGGTAAAGTAATCATGAAGAGAAAGAGCTGAAGGAGATAGAGAGAGAGAGAGAGAGGAGAGAGAAGGAGGGAAGGAGGAACGAGCGAATTTCGCATTATTATTAGCAATAAATTTTATCGAATAATCGAACGCTTTCCTGGCGTTTAATCTGAAATTCCAGGCTGAAAGGAAATCCCGGTAACATTAGACAGCGTTCCAGGAGGGCCTGTTATTCCCCTCAGCAAACCCCAATTCCTTTTGACTCGCTAAATCCTGCCACAAGTTTCCCCAGCATCGGTCTCGAATTTCCCTGAATAGAACCCGCTTTACCCTGCCACCACACTCTATTATTAGACATAGAATATATCGTATATATATACTCTCTCGCCTCCCAAGGGACACGAAAATTATTCTACTTTCGCGTAAATATATATATATATATATATATATATATATATATATATATATATATATATATATATATATATATAACATATATATATATGTTAGTGTTTTGTGATCGTCAATTGCATATATATATATATATATATATATATATATATATATATATATATATATATATATATATATATATATATATATATATATATATATATATATATATATATACACGACAGAGTGCAGTACATAGGGGTGTATGCGAATACAATAAGTATGTGTATTAATTTTGTGTGTTGTAGTTGAATTGGATTCGTCCGTTTTTCTGAAATTGTGTCTTAGAAATTTGTGATGTTGACACAAATTAAATTGTGTCAACATCACAATCTTTGTGCGATGTTGTGTATCCTAACAAACATTCACACTCCTGTTCCATTTTGGGGAAAAAGTAGTAAAAAGCTTATGAATTTGTAGAGGCACACATACAGTTTTTTGGGCCAGATTCACGAAGTAGTTACGCAAGCACTTACGAACCTGTACATCTTTTCTCAATATTTGTCGGCTTTGTTTACAATTATTAAACAATTAATAAGCTCCGAAGCACCAGGAGGCTGTTTATAACAATAACAACAGTTGATTGGGAAGTTTTCATGCTTGTAAACTGTTTTCATAAATGTAACTAAACCCGTCAAAGAGTGTGGAAAGATGTACACGTTCGTAAGTACTTGCGTAACTACTTCGTGAATCTGGGTCCTGTTCCTCGTTTTCCCCTTTTTCCCCCACACTTGTTCCACACCTGAAATTTCCCACCAGGTACAGTCCTCAACCACTGGTTTTTCCTTCAGTAAACCATCGCCTTCGCTGCGGTCTCCTCTTTCTCCACCATCCTCTTGATTTATCCACGTCCAGTCGTGCTGTATCCACGCCCAGTCGTGCTGTATCCACGTCCAGTCGTGCTGTATCCACGTCCAGTCGTGCTGTATCCACGCCCAGTCGTGCTGTATCCACGTCCAGTCGTGCTGTATCCACGCCCAGTCGTGCTGTATCCACGCCCAGTCGTGCTGTATCCACGCCCAGTCGTGCTGTATCCACGTCCAGTCGTGCTGTATCCACGCCCAGTCGTGCTGATCCACGCCCAGTCGTGCTGTATCCACGTCCAGTCGTGCTGTATCCACGTCCAGTCGTGCTGTATCCACGTCCAGTCGTGCTGTATCCACGCCCAGTCGTGCTGTATCCACGCCCAGTCGTGCTGTATCCACGTCCAGTCGTGCTGTATCCACGTCCAGTCATGCTGTATCCACGTCCAGTCGTGCTGTATCCACGTCCAGTCGTGCTGTATCCACGTCCAGTCGTGCTGTATCCACGCCCAGTCGTGCTGTATCCACGTCCTGTCGTGCTGTATCCACGCCCAGTCGTGCTGTATCCACGCCCAGTCGTGCTGTATCCACGTCCAGTCGTGCTGTATCCACGCCCAGTCGTGCTGTATCCACGCCCAGTCGTGCTGTATCCACGCCCAGTCGTGCTGTATCCACGTCCAGTCGTGCTGTATCCACGTCCAGTCGTGCTGTATCCACGCCCAGTCGTGCTGTATCCACGCCCAGTCGTGCTGTATCCACGCCCAGTCGTGCTATGTGCAGTTCCTAAGCCACTTTTAACAAATCATACGTTATCCTGGGTGCTGGTAAGTATGCATATAAAATGTCATTGTACAACGTTCTCTCTCTCTCTCTCTCTCTCTCTCTCTCTCTCTCTCTCTCTCTCTCTCTCTCTCTCTCTCTCTCTCTCTCTCTCTCTCTCTCTCTCTCTCTCTCAGTGTGTGGCCCCATCACTGATGAGCCGCGGCCTGATAATCACTCCCGTTTCATGTGTCGCCTGGGGAATTAATCAGTATTATTGCAGGGCTCTCCGGCAGGTGTGTAGTTATTTTTGGGAGTAGAGCTTCAGCGGGGTTGTGGTTGGGGGGGAATTGTCGTTAGTGGTTGTGGTTGAGGATTGTGTGGTTGGGGGTTGTTGTTTGTGGTTGTCGAAATTAATTTTAGTTCATATGGTTAAGTCTGTTTCATATATCTGGATCTGCTTCATATTGCTGGGGTGCATATGTGACTGATTTAGCTCAGTTGGGTGTGTTGCATATGTGAGGTTAGCCAATATGTATTGCAAGAGTGGCTATAGCAAGGTTGTGTGACATTGTATGTATACACGCACACTGGAACAGGATGTAATTCATCATCGACCGCGCGCGCACGCACGCACACACACACACACACACACACACACACACACACACACACACACACACACACACACACACACACACACACACACACACACACACTCACTCACACTCACACTGCCACACTAGAGCCACCACACCACCATCACTACCACCGCCATCACTACCACCACCATCACTACCACCACCATCACTACTATCACTATCACCACCACCATCACTACCACCACTATCACCATCACTACCACCACCATTACTACTACCACCACCATCACTACCACCACCATTACTACCACCACCATCACTACCACCACCATCACTACCACCACCATCACTACCACCACCATCACTACTATCACTATCACCATCACTACCACCACCATTACTACTACCACCACCATTACATAAACCACCACCACATCACCATCACCACCAACACATTACCATCATCAACAACACATCACCACCACCACCACACCACCACCATACCACCACAACACCACCACCACAACACCACCACCACCACCACCACACCACCACCACAACAACAACACCACAACACCACCACCACCACACCACCACCACAACATCACCACCACCACCACCACAACATCACCCCCACCACACCACCACAACCACAACAACACCACTACCACACCACCACCACACCACCACACCACCACCAAATAATCCCCCCCCCATCCCTGCAGCAACCTTCCCGCTCCCCACCATTCCCTGCCTCAAATCCATTTCCCCCGCCATGTCCCCAACCAATTTCCCCGCCTGCTTGACATGGGCTCCTTAACTAGGAAAATCGACCCCGCCTCGGAGGACCAGACATTCACTCGAATCACCAACCAGTTTTTATCTCGTTTGCTTTACGAATCAGCAATTAGGACAATATGTATTTATATTATACTAATTTATATGGTACTCCTCGGTATTCGTTACAGTGTACCCGGGATATGTTGACCACTTCAATTGTTACTGGCTGTCGGATAACCACAATTTGAGGAAATTCGTTTCACAGTTTTAAGTGAAAGGGAATGGGAGGAAGAAATGGAAATAATAAGGAGGAGGAGAGGATAAATGGGAAGAGAGGGAAATTTTAATGACGTGTAGGAGAGGGGGGGGGGGAATGAACCAGACCACTAGCAACACTGCAAAAGAAACAGCCCCTCGCAACACTGCAAAACAAACAACCTCTTGCAACACAGCAAAACAAACAGCCTCTTGCAACACTGCAAAAGAAACAGCCTCTTGCAACACTGCAAAAGAAACAGCCCCTCGCAACACTGCAAAAGAAACAGCCCCTCGCAACACTGCAAAAGAAACAGTCTCTTGCAACACTGCAAAAGAAACAGCCTCTTGCAACACTGCAAAAGAAACAGCCCCTCGCAACACTGCAAAACAAACAGCCTCTTGCAACACTGCAAAACAAACAGCCTCTTGCAACACTGCAAAAGAAACAGCCCCTCGCAACACTGCAAAAGAAACAATCTCTTGCAACACTGCAAAAGAAACAGCCCCTCGCAACACTGCAAAAGAAACAGTCTCTTGCAACACTGCAAAAGAAACAGTCTCTTGCAACACTGCAAAAGAAACAGCCCCTCGCAACACTGCAAAACAAACAGCCTCTTGCAACACTGCAAAAGAAACAGCCCCTCGCAACACTGCAAAAGAAACAATCTCTTGCAACACTGCAAAACAAACGACCTCTTGCAACACTGCAAAAGAAACAGCCTCTTGCAACACTGCAAAACAAACAACCTCTTGCAACACTGCAAAACAAACAGCCTCTTGCAACACTGCAAAACAAACAACCTCTTTCAACACAGCAAAAGAAACAGCCTTTTGCAACACTGCAAAACAAACAGCCTCTTGCAACACAGCAAAACAAACAACCTCTTGCACAGCAAAACAACAATCATGCAGCAACATAGAGGCAGTAGTGTGTGACAGCAGGTTTTAAAGATTTAGCGAGATTTGCCCCCCACGTCGCCACCGTCCCTACTAAAAACCTTTCTCGTTCGTATTCTGGTTCCTCTTCTGTCCCCTTCCTCTCTCCCCCCCCCATTCCCCCTCCTCTCTCTCTCTCTCTCTCTCTCTCTCTCTCTCTCCCCTTTCCCAGCATTCAATCTCTCTTTTGTCAAAGACAGTCATAGGCAACCCAATTTCTTTCACATTAAACCCTGCTCTTCGCATCCTTGGAACGTCTTTCATGCACATCCTCGGGACGTCTCTCCTCTACATTCAAGTGACGTTTCTCTTCTACATCCGACAGATGTTTCTCTTCTACATCCGAGAGACGTTTCTTCTCTACATCCAAGAGGCGTCTCTCCTCTACATCCGAGAGACGTTTCTCTTCTACATCCAAGAGACGTCTCTCCTCTACATCTAAGAGACGTCTCTCCTCTCCATTCAAGGGACGTCTCTACTCCACATCCAAGGAACTTCCTTCCTCCACATCCTTGGGATTCCTCTCTTCCACATCCTGAGGACATCTCCCTGCACATTCAAGCGATCCTCCTACATCCTGGGGACTCCTCCACATCCTTGGGACTCCTCCTACATCATGGGGACTCCTCCACATCCTGGGGACTCCTCCACATCCTTGGGACTCCTCCTACATCCTGGGGACTCCTCCACATCCTGGGGACTCCTCCACATCCTGGGGACTCCTCCGCATCCTGGGGACTCCTCCACATCCTTGGGACTCCTCCACATCCTGGGGACTCCTCCACATCCTGGGGACATCTCTTAAGAAGCACATATTCAGGACCCGTCTCCTTCGTTTGTCGCTCCCAATGCTCTTTTTTAGAATCGAATTCTTGCTTTGCTGAATTTAATTTTCACACAGTTTCATGCCATTTCTCTCCCTATTTCGTCTCCCAAAAGGCTTTCAATTCGGATTTTTACTTACTTTTCTTTATCTTTTTCTTTTGGTTGGTCGTTCAAGTCTAATGTTTGAAAAGTCTTTTTTTTTTTTTTCACCGTGACCTCCAATTGTGAAGAGATATCAATTTCTCGTGTGTGAAGGAGTGACGATTACGATGATAAAGAGTGTTCGTTAATTGACGATAAAGAGGGGGGTGAAAGCAAGGGGAAATTAAGCACTGGTAAAGTAGGTATACGGATGTATACCCTCGTTTTCTATCTTTTTTTAGCTATCTTTTTCTAAAGGCAAGACACGAAAAAGTTATTAAGAAGTGCTGGGCGACACCACCAAAAGTGTCGTGACTCCTGGAATTCCATATTTATAAAGAAGTGCAAAGTACCAATAGCAACTAAGTGCAATATAGATGAAAACAGTTTGGGTACAGGTGAGCTACCAGAATCAATGTAATTATCAGATACAGCTCTATTACAGAAGGGAGCATTGGCTAAAATCTGTAGCCCGGTGTCACTAATTCAAGTTTTTGAAAGAGCGACCAGAAACCAAATCTCCAGCTTTATTGAGAACAATGAACTTCACAATCCAAGTCGAAATGGATTTAGAACGGGAAGACCATACCTTTCTCAGTTACCCAACCACTGTGACAAACTCTCGGAAGCATTAGTAGAAAAACAAAATGCAGATTTTGAACACATTGATTTTTCAAAGGCATATGATAAATGTGACCATGGCGTGATAGCCTATGATATGAGAGCAATAAGTATAACACGTAAATTAGGGTGGTAGATTTCCTATCTACATTTTCCTGTCAATTGACATTTCCTGTCAAACAAAACGCAAAAAAGTAAAAGCCAGTCAAACGAATGAAGCCTAAACACAGTGAAAATCTCTGTACATCAGGGCACAGTTTTGTAACTGTTATTTTTCATTCTTATATCAGTTATAGAGAGAAATACAAATCAGAGCTTCGTGTCAACCTTTAAGGACGATACAAAATTAACATTTTGTATCGAGTGGAGGTACTTCCGAAGGAGTGCTGGAGAAGTGGGAGGGAGGGAAGGAATTGCCAGGAGAAAGTGCCAAGCCATTACGACTATATAGCACTTGGAAGGCATCAGGATAAGGATTTGGGAGGGGAGGGGAGGGGGGGGGGAAGGAATGATGCCCAACCACTTGGACCGTCAGGGATTGAACGCCGACCTGCATGAAGCGAGACCGTCTTACTACCGTCCACCCCAAGTGAAAATGTGTGAAGGGAAGATGAGGGAGTGATGCTGTACGAGAAGGCTGGGAATTACGAGTGAGTGAGACTTACGAACCGTGAGTCTACGGTTCGATCGGGTATCGAACCGTAGACTCACCGATAGACAGAGCAAACTTCAGGGACATGGAGCAGCATACTCTTAGATAAGCAAGATAAGCAACACTACAACAAAGGGAATGAAATACGAAGCAATGAACTGTGTGATTCACGAGACTGCTCAACCCACTCTCTCACCCAATACGTCGCATTCTTAACGGAATCGACAAATCCGTTTAAAGCACGACGGTTTCTTGCGATGGTTATCTTGAGATGATTTCGGGGCTTAGTGTCCAAGCGGCCCGGTCCTTGACCAGGCTTCCACCCCCAGGAAGCAGCCCGTGACACCTGACTAACTCCCAGGTACCTATTTACTGCTAGGTAACAGGAGCATCAGGGTGATAGAAACTCTGTCCATCGTTTCTCGCCGGCGCCTGAAATCGAACCCGGGACCACAGGATCACGTGTCCAACGTGCTGTCCGCTTGGTCACCGGCTCCCCTGAGGTGTGTGTGTGTGTGTGTGTGTGTGTGTGTGTGTGTGTGTGTGTGTGTGTGTGTGTGTGTGTGTGTGTGTGTGTGTGTGTGTGTGTGCGTGCATGTGTGCGTGAGTGTGTGCGCGCACCCAGACAAGAGATGCTTAAAAAGACGTAGCCAGACCCTACAAAGTTTATCTTTGCGAGAAAAAGAGTTCCTTCGTTACATTTATCACCGTGAAGATAACAGGTCGTGACAACGAACACAAACGCAAAACTGAGCAACACACTTAAATGGCGGAGGAAGACAACGAGGAGAAGAACGAGGAAGGAAAAAAAAAGGGTGGGAGGAGAAGTAACTGGAAGGGAAGGAGAAGGGAGGAGCTAGAGGAGGATGAAGGGAAGAAGAAAGAGAGGATTGGAAAGGGGAGCGAATGAAAGGAGGAAGGGATATTCTCTGTATTTCAGAAATCTCTCGTGCTTGGAAAACAGGGAAAAATAAGTACCGAATAATTTTTATTTATATTACTTTTAAGCTGCATCACTTATGAACCCACTTATGAACATAGGGAGCCGGTCGGCCGAGCGGACAGCACGCTCGACTTGTGATCCTGTGGTCCCGGGTTCGATCCCGGGCACCGGCGAGAAACAATGGGCAGAGTTTCTTTCACCCTATTCCCCTGTTACCTAGCAGTAAAATAGGTACCTGGGTGTTAGTCAGCTGTCACGGGCTGCTTCCTGGGGGTGGAGGCCTGGTCGAGGACCGGGCCGCGGGGACACTAAAGTCCCGAAATCATCTCAAGAAGATCCCTGCCCTTGTGTGGCAGTGCACAGTAAAAAGTTGTTTTCACATATCCATACATTAAAACATTGATTGTAACCATAATATATATGTGTACTTCTGCCTACAGTTTAGACCTATTTTCTTATGTATGACCCTCTGTCCTGCGTGACAGTGAATACCAGCATTATCCTCACTTTAATAAGACTTAATCGAAGTCCTCAGATTAGGCAAAATTGTAATTAATTTTGTCAATAAAGATGTTATTAATAATAAAACCGAGCAGTACTCAAGGCGGGACAGTACCAATGATTCAAAAGCAATAACTTTGTAGTGGATTTGCAGGTTCTCATAATCCATCCTGTCACTTTCCTGGCTGACGCTATACTTGCTTCGTGATGTTTACTAAACGTTAGGTCATCTCATATCATTATTACCAGATCATTTTCATGTTGTTTTCTCCTATGAGTAGATCTGTTTGTGCTTGTATCTTGTATTTTGTTTAAATTCATTTTTATCATAGATATATCTGGAATTTATCGCTGTTAAACATCATGTCATTTTCAGTTGGCTATCGAATACTTTATTGATATCATCCCGAGTTGTTCAGTGTCTCCTCCCGAAGTAATCTTACAAAACTCCTCAAAACTCCACTCCTCTCCCATCCTTTCCATTTCCCTCCTCCAATCCTTTCCGTCTTTACTCGTGATTCCCGCCCCATCCACCCAGCTCTCCCCTCCTCACTTCCTCTTCCCATCTCCTTCTTTCCATAATTTCCGTAATTGAAGCATTTCGGTAATTGCGTGGTCGTTTCCTCACCCCCTTTCGGGCAGCGACTCAGATTGAGAGTTGGGGGGGGGGGGAGAGGAAGGGGGGGGGGGGGGGGGGTCGTCATGTAGGGAGGTAGGGAAGGTAGGGAAGGTAGGGGTCGTCATGTAGGGAGGTAGGGAATGTGGATTAATTGGATTACTGCATCCAGGCATGGAGACCATCTTCAGAAATAAATATAGCTGCTCTGGAGAAAGTGCAACACCGGGCAATAAAAATCATCCCAGAGCTTAGTCATCTCACGTATCAGGAACGGTTAAGGGCCACAGGGCTAACAACACTACAGACCAGGCATGAGAGGGCGGATCTCATCGAAACCTTCAAAATACTGCACAATTTGGAGGACGTCGTTCCGGACAATTTCTTCAAAATGTCAGATGTAACACGAACAAGAAGCAACGGATTCAAGTTCAACAAACCACAATGTAGGACAGAAAACAGGAGATGCTTTTTCACCCATAGGGTTGTAAACCCGTGGAACCGCCTACCCGCCGAAGCCGTAAACGCCAAAATGTTGCTGAGTTTTAAATAAAATACAGCTGGAAAAGATCATCAGTTCAAATGGGAGGACCTTTGACAAGCGGCCGGCTTCCTGTCCTCATCAATGCCACTAGTTATAGTGGCCCTCAGGTAAATTAGGCCTAGGGTTGATTTATATATGCAGTGTTATTGTATTTATGTGTCCACTTACGA